TGCCAGCGTGGCCACAGCCAAGCGCACACAGGCGCATGCACAGCCATGTGCACGGTGTTGCACAGCCGACAGCGCACACACACAGCCACTGCTACACACACACAGTTGCACAGTTGCACTCATGGCCGCGTGCAGACACTTGCACCCCAGTCACACACACAGGCGCATGCGCCATCGTGCTCGCAGATGCGCTGGCCCTGCCCTGCTGTCCCCACTGAGACCGCTGTGAGCAGCTGCACCTGGGCCAAGGAGGATGCTCCAGGGGTGGGGGGCACCCAAGGGTGCTGCCAAGGCCATGGCTGAACATGGGGGTGATGCACAGGGGACACATGAGCTCCCCTTTCAGGAGGTGCCCAGGAGGCATCTTGGAGGGGTGCAGAAGGAAACAACTTCTCAGATGCTTCTGGGAGCCACCCAGGCCCTGCAGGTGGCACTGGCTGACACCCACCAGTGACAGGACAAGGGACGGGGTCTCGGGCAGCACCGGGGCTCAGGCCGCTTTCCCTCCTGTCCCCGCACAGGGTGCCAGCCCTCCCGGTGAAGAATCTCAATGGCACCGGCCCAGTGCATCCCGCCCTGGCAGGTAAGAGGGAGTGCCGGGTGCTGGTGCCAGGTGCCGGTACCAGGTCCTGGTGCCAAGTGCCGGTGCCAGGACCCGGTGCCAGCTCCAGCGCTGCCCAACGTGATGGGGCGTCTCGGCGCAGGCATGACGGGCATCCTGCTGTGTGCGGCGGGGCTGCCCGTGTGCCTCACCCGCGCGCCCAAACCCGTCCTGCACCCGCCGCCCGTCAGCAAGAGCGACATCAAACCCGTGCCCGGCGTCAGCGGCATCTGCAGGAAGACCAAGAAGAAGCACCTCAAAAAGAGTAAGGAGGGAAACCGAGGCACGGGCGCTGCGGGACCCTCATGTGATGGGCTTGGTGGACCGTGGGCACCACTGGCCATGATGGAGGGTCCCTTGTGTCCCCTTGGCCACATCTCCGCCGTGACGGTGGGGAGTGGATGGGGGGCGGTGACCTTTGCTCGGGGCGTTGCAGCGGTGCTGCCCGCTCCGCATCCCATGTTTGCCCTCACCAAGGGCGTTTTGAACCCTTGGCAAACAGACCTTTGGCTTTGGACGCCAAGAGGGAAATGGGCCATGTGGTGGGGATTTCTATTATTTGCAAAACAAAAAAACAAAATGATGGTTTCCTCTATTTGCAAAGAAAAACAAAATAAACACTGTGAGGAAAGTGGTGGGACGGATGAGGAAGAGAAATTTGAGCCTTGGGTGTTTGGTTAAAGCTGGTTCGCAGCAGCGCCTTCTGCCCACCCTCCCCGCCGCTTGCTGCATGGGTTGGAAATGAGCGTGTTTTTGTGACAGAAATGATGTCCAGCGCTGTGTGGGGACAGAGTGCTCCACGCTGGCAGGCTCGCTTGGGCCGGAGGCAATGCTGGGGAATCCTGATCTCCCGTTTTCCCCCTCTTTTCTTCCCTCCCCACCCGCTCCCAGGACGGGAGCCTGCAGTGTCCGACCTGCAAAACCATCTACGGGGTGAAGACCGGGACTCAGCCGCCGGGGAAGATGGAGTTCCACCTCATCCCGCACGCGCTGCCCGGCCATGCTGACTGCAAAACCATCCGCATCATCTACAACATCCCGCCGGGGGTGCAGGTGGGCGCCGGCGGCGGACCCACGTCACAGCCCTGGCGGCCCTAAGAGCCATCCCAGAGCGTAGCTGCTCCGGGAGGCAGCGGGGGGACCTTGCTTTGCGCACGGAGCGTTTCTGGCTTCCAAAGCTCTTAATTTCTCTTCCGCTTTGACCGCTGCAGGGCCCAGAGCATCCGAACCCCGGGAAGAACTTCACGGCCCGCGGCTTCCCGCGACACTGTTACCTGCCAGACAGCGAGAAGGGCAGGAAGGTGAGCGGGGCTCCCAGGGTGCCCAGAGCTGCTTCCTCCTTGCCTTTCCCCTGCCTGTGCTGGGATGCAGAGGTTGGAGCTTCAGGGGATTCATAGGCAGCCTGGGAGGACTTGGGATTCAATAGGAATAGCCTGTGTCCGGCTCCCCGGGCGCTGGGCTTGGGCCCCCTGCGATCAGCACGTGTTGACCATGCGGCCTGTCCTGTCTGCCGTCCCCGCAGGTACTGAAGCTGCTGCTGGTGGCCTGGGACCGGCGCTTGATTTTTGCCATCGGCACCTCGAGCACCACGGGCGAGTCGGACACCGTGATCTGGAACGAGATCCACCACAAGACTGAGTTCGGCTCCAACCTCACCGGCCACGGCTACCCCGACGGCAACTACCTGGACAACGTGCTGGCCGAGCTGCGCGCCCAGGGCGTCTCCGAGGCCAACATCAAGGACTGAGCGTCCACAGTGCCCCTGGACCCCCGATGTCCCTGACGCTTCGCCGACGGTCCCCTGTGCCATGTTGTGCCACTGCTTGTCCCAGGGGTCCTGGCACGGGACCACCGCCTCCGCCTTCGTGTGTGTGAGCAGCCGTGTGCCCACCCGCCCCGAGGGACAAAGCCGTGTACAGTATATATTACATAGAGATATATATCTGTATATAGACAGTATATGCGATATAGATATATATCTGTATATGGACACTATATGTTATATAGATATACATATATCTGTATACGGGCAGTATATATTATATAGAGATTATATATCTGTACAT